CACCATTGTTGTTGTTGTTGTGTGCCATGGAGTCGGTTCTGACTCATAGCAACCCTGTACAGGGTTTCCGAGGCTGTAAATCTTTACAGGAGCAGAAAGCCTTATCTTTCTCCCACGGAACAGCTGGTAGTTTCAAACTGCTGACCTTGTGGTTTGCAGCCCAATTCGTAACCACTACGCTACCAGAGCTCCGGGTAATATGATTCTTGTGTATGTAGGTATGTTACTGTCTATAAACTTCATTAGAGAATAGTAATGGAGACATGTTTATAATAAACATCATGTAAAGGGGACACTGGGTCCCTCCTGTCCTACAGGACTGACCCCCATTCTCTCTGAGCTCATGTCCTGTGATTCTCCCTACTCTCCAACTCACTCCTTAGATCCCACCTCCCTGAAGTCACATGTTCTTCCTCTGTCACACCGAGGACACTCCCTCCTCAGGGTCTTTGTCCTGCTAAGCCTTCTGTCTAGTCCCTGGGTGGTACAACTGTGCCTCGCTGGTCACCAAAGTGTTGGAAGAAAGGCCTGGTGATCTACTTCCAAAAAAATCCGCCACTGAAGCCCCTATGGAGCACAGTTCTACTCTGACGCCCAGGGTTGCCATGAGTCGGAACCGCCACATGTCTCTTCTAGTTATAGTCTTTGTAACGCCCACCAAATGACTGTTTTCTGAAGATGCTGGCAGGACTATCTAATTAGTTGTGAGTGATTGCTAACGGGGCTAACTGTGATCATAAAATCTTGGGAATTGGTCAATTTTGCCATCCTGCTAGGTATAAAATAAACCATCTCAGAAGCTGAAAAAGGGATCTCACAACTGTCAAGAAAGCAGAGCCCAGAATGATGTGCGTCCTTTGGACTCTGATACCCCTGCGCACTGAACCTCTGCAATCCAAGGACAGAAAGCTGTGACACCAGAGACGTGGCAGAGGAGCAGCAGAAGCAAGACCCAAAGCACGAGACACAGCAGCGGACTTCCAAGCTCATGGAGTGACTGCAACTGAGTGTCTCTGAGCAAGAGGCTTGTTTGTGGATCGGGGTGCTTCCACGTCATCTGGGGAGCCAAGTTTTGCTGACACACAGCTCTACAGTTAAGCATCTTCAGGCTGAGGCTAAGAGCAGAGTGGAGTGCACTTTGGGCATTTATTGGCAGCCCTAAAAGAGCTCTGTAACACTGTCCAAGCAGAACGGCGGCCAAGCTAAGGGGCTAAGGGCCAGCGAGGGGCCTACTGTGTGAGCACACAGAGAACAGGCCATCCTGACTGAAGAACTGTATCCTCAATAGTTCTCATTTGGCATTGTAGCCTGTTAACTTCCCTAATGAATGCCACAATCATGAGTATGGTCTATGAGTTGTGTGGCATTTGCAATGAATTTTCGAACCCAGCAGACAGTGTCAGAATTGGACTGGAAGGTTGGAGGGTGGTGGCATGTCTGTCCTCAGCCTCTGTGGTATGGGCTTTGAGCTGATGTTGAGGTGGATTTTCCTGCCCCCAGGTGAAATCAGAAGAACTCAGATGCCCTTTTCACACTGAAATACTGGAACTTTAGAGTCCTGGTGTGGTGCTATGGGATAAAGCACTAGATACACCGCAAGGTCGGCAGTTCAAGTTCACCAGCCACTCCTTGGAAACCCTATGCAGGGTTCACTATGAGTCGGAACTGACTCGACAGCAGTTAACAACAACAGCAACCTTGGAACTACAGTAGTTCTACAAATAATACACACAACAGGCTGGAAAAGTGACATGACGGGCCAAGAGACCATTTTCTGCACTGCCACTGCGATGCTGGTGAGTTCTGGGAACAGAATGCTCCATTTACTGACTCTAGACACCCACAGGAGTATCAGTGAGGTCAGAGGTTATCTAGCTGCTTGCAGGGCTAGAGCAGATGTCTCCTTAGAATGCTCATCTGATAGGGTCCCAAGGCAGCCCAGATTCAGTCCATAGGAATCCATGCACAGGACTCCAGCCATGGACAGACAGGTTCTTCACTTGTCCTCCTGGCACAGCTCCACGGTGGTCTCCATCCCACCTGTTGGCGGCACCGAATCCCACAGCACCTGGCTTCCTTCTCTACAGACTCTGAGCACCCAGTGATTACATCACACCTGCTCACAGCATGTGGTTTTATGCCTTCTGTCTAGAAGACTCCTTGCCTTCCTTCAGATCTGTTTTTAAATGAGGCTTTCTTCATGGGGTCTTTTCCCTGCCAAACCTGGCACTCCCAGTCCACCTCCCTGGTTTATTTATGTCCTTGTCTATTTCCCCACCAGAAGGAAATCTCTGTATGGGCAAGGATTTTATCTGTTTTGTTCACTTTCGAGACCTGCAGGGCCTAGAACACTATCTGGATACTTCTGTAATCTCTATGTATATTAATTGTTTAGAAATTAAAACAAAAACACCCACTGCAGTTGAGTTGATTCTAACTCATAGCGATTTTATGAGTTTAGAAATAACCAATCTGGAAATCTTTCATTATAAATGCCAGATTAAAATTAATTGAAAACTCAGGGTCTCTGTTGCCATCGTTAATCACTATGTAGAAACACAAATTGCTACTCGTGCCCATAGCTGAAGTTAACTAAAAAGAAGTCAGTTTATGCTTAGAAGAACAAGGAAACTTAAAACATACTGAATATGACTTGAAATCAGTAGGTCTTAATCGGATTTCTCTAATTCTCCCTTTAAGTGTCTTCTAACTTCTCCTTCCTGGTCCACCTCCTTAATCAGTTGCTCGGTTGGTTCTACTGATTCTATTTCAGGCATCCTCTCGCCTTCTCAGCCTCACCTCCCACTGGTCTTCCTGACTCTGGGGTCCCACACTCTGCTGCTGCTAGATTTATCTCTCCAAAGCCAAGCACCTGTTGGGCTGCCCCCAAGCTCCATCATACTCTCAACCAGAATTCTGTTCAATCAAGTACAAATGCCTCAGTGCTGCTTTAAGGCTTAACATAGCTTTCTGGCCCTCTCTCTCTCTCCGCCCCCCCTCCCCCAGCATCCCTAAAACCACTGCCTTCAAATCTACTCCGACTTACAGCAATCCTACAGGACAGAGTAGAATGGCTCCATGGAGTTTCTGAGGCCGTGAATCTTATGGGAGCAGATGATCTCATCTTGCTCCCATGGAACGGCTAGTGGGTTTGAACCGCTGACCTTTCAGTTAGCAACCCAATGCTTACCCCACTGCTCCACCAGGGTTCTATAAGCATCTATAAGTTCCTACTAAATGGGACCGGTCTCTGCAGCAACACCTAAGCAACGTGACCTCCTGGCTTTTGTCCACCCAGCCATTAGTCCTTGGGATGCTCCTTTCCTGTCCTCATTCCCAACTCAAGCTCCATTCATCCACCCTGGCTCACCTCCAACACCAATACTTTCTGAGCCATTCCTGCCCACTCAGACGGACCTGGGCTCACAGCACGGTACCTGTGCCTCTGTAAGGTTTCACAATACTCTGTGTTGAAGTACTGTGTCCCTGTCTCTTCTTCCTATCAGACTGTGAGCTCCTTGGGGGCAGACACTGTCTTTGCCAACTTAGTGTCTGGAGCATTATCTTCCACAGACCAGACTCTCTACTTATTGAGGTGAGGTTAAAAAAAAAAAAAAAAAAAGAGGCAAATTCTTTAAAGTCTAACTTACAGGAGACAATAGATCCATTCTTACATCTGGCTAAGCAACAAACAATGCAGGACACAGCTCTGTCAGACACTGCCGAGGCTTCTTGTAGATATGAAACCTTGAAGAAGGTCAGTTTCAAACAATCCATGCAGTAAAAAGCAAAGGAGGAGGACGTGGGGCAAAGATCCCCCGCCTGAGAATCTGGTAAGCCCTCCAATTCAACGGCAAAATGTGTAGCCCAGTCCTTCTGTGGTTTATTGGTTTTCATATTTATCTTTGGACAAAATAGAAAATTCACAGATGTAAAGAACTCTGCCTTTACTTTGAACATTAAAATGCTGAGACATAAAGGAGAGACGGTACAGACCATCTTTGAGGTCTGCAAGGCAACGCCCAAGTCCGACTCTCCAGGTCTTACTGTGACCTCAGAGGGCCGGCCTTTTGACTGCTTAAAGCTCTTGATGGACCCCACCAGGTGAAACAGGATGGCCTGTGGTACCAACATTAGTGGCGTTTGTCAGAAGGCCATGCGTCATCGGCCTTCTGACAAACGCCACTACTTTCTCCATCTAGAACACTGTTTCAGAACATTTGATTATAGGAGAGAAAAATATGTGCTGTGCTCCTGAAAACAGTGAGTCAGAGACAAGTGACAGAAGAGAAGAGGCTGGTCAGACGCTAAGCTAGAGCCACATGAAAGTTATTACTGGACAGAAGAAGAGGGATGACTCTGAAGGTCCCAAGTCCTGGGATGCGCATGGCTTTGTCTGGGAAGATGACTCTGGAAATCAAGCACAATTTCCTAGTTGTAGGACTCGACTCTGCTAACGATCACCAGGAAGACGGATCACAAGACTGACGCATGGCAGGTTCCATGAGAAACAAGCTTAGCCATTAGCCTCCCTTGCCGCAGAGACCCAATAAAGTAACTAACTTGGATGTATGTCAAAGCTTGTAGGCCTCAATTATTTAAGGCTCTTTATGAAGACACATGAGTAATTTGAGGTGTTGGTGCTTGTAATTATGATTACAAGATTCTAATCGTTAGAACTTACAAAAAACTAAAAGCAACTTCTCTCCTTAAATACCAACCAGCAATAACAATTCATAGAAAAGCCTAGAGCCATATAGACATGAGAACTAGATAGAAGAGGGGGGAACAAACCACTAAGAAAATGTGCCTCTTCAGCTGATACACTGGGTAGGTAATTACAGTTTGAGCCACAAGTATAGCCTTCAAGCATAACCCTCTTTCTTTGACCCCATTCTCCTTTTGCATTTTTTTAAATGTCTAACTATTTTTTCTGGAACATGCTTACACAGGATCAGCTGAGCAAATGTCCACACACCCGAGGACCGAATCCAAGTTACCTTCTTTTAAAGTCCACTTGATTGAGCCTGTCCTCTTGCTTACAGCATGCAAACTTCCGTCCAGAGTTGACACAAACAATAAGGTTTCAGGAAGTGTCACCGTGCTCGTACTTCCAAAAATCTGCAACAAGACATGGGAGAATCTTCATGGTCTGTATGATTCTTTACCTTGGAAATGTATAACCACAGAGCCCCATCTCCAGATGAAGAAACTGAGGCTGGAGGGCCTCCCTTCCCAGTCAAGGTAAAGAGGAGATGACTAGAACCCAGGGCTCCTCACTCTACCTCCGAGCCAATTCTACCTCTGTGTTGTACAGGGACAACATTTATAATCACACAAAAACTGGAAAGAATCTAAGTTCTAATAGTATCTAAGGGCTAAATTAACTTGTATTCAATGGGATATTGTATAATCATTAAAACAGCACTTGGAATGATCTAAAATACAGAAAAATGCTTATAATATGCTATCAAGTAGAAAAATACAGACTCTAAAATTTTGTGTACACTATAGTTATGACTTTTTTTTTCTAGACCGACTCGACATCACTTAGCAACATCTGTTCTCCTGCTTTGCTGGGAAAACATATAGTTGGTGTCATTTACAGTAACTTCTTCATGAAATATAACAAAGATGAACAAATTGTCAGGCGGAAGAGTAGCTGGAATTTAAAGGGGCTGTAGGAAGCTCCTAAACTCCAGGTGAAGTCTTTTCTGTCTCAGGGTGTTAAGCAACTTGACATCTTTGACTTAATATTCACCAAACAAGGGATGAAGTCTGGAAGCAGAAGCCTCACAATTAGATAGTGTGCATCCAAGACTAGAAGAGTTTGTTGTTACTAAAGCCTAAATAAAGTGTAACCATAATGAACAGTTGTTATTGTGTCTACCTATAGGACTGAATGGAACTTCCTCCTACGTTTCCAAAGCTGTCAATCTTTGTGGAGGAAGGAGCCTGGTGGCACAATGGTTAAAGTCAGTGAATCAAAGTTGTGGAAGAAAGAAACATGTGACAGTGTGGTTTCATAAAGGTTCCCACAACCAAGCAAAGCCATTGAGTGCACTTGGACTCCTAATGCCCCTGTGTAATGTTACCAAGACTGTAAAGGTTTACCGGAGCAGACAGCCTCATCTTTCTCCCTCAGAGCAGCTGGTGGGTTTCAACTGCCAATTTTGCAATCAGCAAACCAATGCTTACTCCACATTGTCACCAAGCCTTGGAAAACCTCTGGAGGCAGTTCTACTCTGCCCCACAGTGTTGCTATGGGTTACGATCCACTGGATGGCAACAGGTTTGGTTTAGGGAATCTTCACAAGAGCAGATCACCAAGTCTTTCTCCTGTGGAGCTGCTACTGGGTTTGAATCACTGACCTTTCGGTTAGCTGCTGAGCACTTTACCACTGAGCCACCGGGGTTGCTTGAAATAAACACCGCGAGGGTTCCTATTAAAAAGGGTCAATATTTACTAAAATATATCAGTGCTGCTGTAACTGCTAGGGTGGAAGCAAACGCCACCTGCCTTTTCTGAGCATCTTGGAAACCACAGGAAGGGCAATTGTTTATGGTTGGCTGGTGAATCGAAATAAAATACTAATCACATAACTAACCATCTACTAAAATCTCAGAAACACAAGGTGGAGACATAAGTTGAATTTAGCAGCTGAGAGCTCTGACAGTCCATCGTGATATCTACATCACAACCCACATCACAACTGGTGGGTTCCTGCCTTCTTGTCAGGCTTCTGACTGCTTCCCATTAGAATACCTGGTCAGCCACTGTGAACAATACTATCCTCTCATACGGTAAATGAGTATTAAACAAATCCTCTGGCTTCTTGTCTCGGGCCTTCTTTTTAAAAAGCATAAGGGTGCCTGCCTGTAAATACTGTTGCTATAACTAACACGACTTGAACAAGCCCTGAGCACAGGATCTGAAAACACTGTAAGGAACTTGTAAGTTACCTCCAGCCATTTCAGTCTGTGGCTCCCTTTTCTCTACTATGGCTATAAATAGCACTGACCCGGCAGCCCTACGCACTCTTCCCAGAGCCTGGACATGGCTGCAAACTTGGAAATGAACAACAGGAGAGAAAATGCTGATTCTGTGATCGAATTCAAGCTGACTATCTAGAATCTAACTATTTTTAAAATAAGAAGGACATGCATTCGTGGATTCCATGGTGGCTCCTAGGAAGTAAGCAGGAAACACTGTTGAGGGTGAGCGTGGCGGTGGAGCCTAAAACTAGACACCCACACCTGTCACTGACCTGGCCGCTATGGCCACTCTCCCTCCCTCTGTCATGCGAATAAACATGGCATGGGGGCATGCTCCAAGCACCTCTAAAATTCAGGAACCATGAAAGCTGAAAGGGCTCCTAGTGGCATAATGGCTAAGCACTTAACCCTTAACCAAAAGGTCGGTGGTTTCAACCCACACGATGGCCCTGCAGGAGAAAAGACCTGGCGATCTGCTCCAGTAGAGATTACGGCCAAGAAACGTTCTGGGGCAGCTCTTCTCTGTCACGTGGGCTCAACTATGAGTTGGATGAGCTTGATTACCCCAAGCTCATGGGTACAACATGGAAGCCAAAGGCCATTCAATCAAGAGCTTTTCAGAAATGTTACGTTTCCTAACATACAGTGTTACTGCTTCATACACCCTTCAAAAAATAGCTCCCAGGTTAACTGCCCACCCAATAGCAAGGGTCAGCAAGGGTCAGCAAGCCACAAAAAATAGCACAGCCCTTTCATCTGTAAGACAGTGGGAAGAAGCGGCACCAAACGAACAGAACATCTCATGCTCACAGTTTGCCAAAGTGATTTATACTTGACAAGCCTCATAACATTTGATGCAGTTACAAAACTGATGCTTCCTACTCCCACACAAAAGCCTTACACAAACAGGTGTACAAAAGACCCACCTTTGTTGAAGGGCAGAGTCAGACACTGCCCATGTGGCATGTGAATCCATCAAATCGAATGTACTTCTAAATGTTACATTTACATGGTGAACCCTGTAGTGATAGTTTAGCATGCTATGTAAAAATGTAAAATTACTGACAACAGTAAAATACTTTCTCTGAATCGTCTCCCCTTCCCATCTCCACTCCAACCACCACAGCATTCATAACAATATCAAATTTGGCTAGTAACAAAATTTCTTTTTTTCCTCTCTTTTAGGAGTACCATGTTGATTTCTAGGATTTGTTCGCAGGGCTACATTTTTTTTTTCTTCTCTGCCCTCTAAATTCACTGGATTATTGTGTTACTGTATAATCCTAATTTTAGTTTTATTTATTTAAGGTTAAGAAAACCAGGCTCCTCAACTAAAATACAATGCTTGTGCCATGCTTGTAGGGATCCTGGTATGCGTTCTCAATAGGATATCATTAAACAATCTAGCATGCACCTAAATTCCTGGGACCACAACCTGCCACCAACAACCAGGCTGTGCTTCTTGTCGAGGCACAAGCCCCACCACGTGGCTGGCCACCAAGGTCAAGTGAAAGTGACTCATTTGGGTTGGTTAAGGAACCCACACTGCAGAGTCCTATGTAAAACTTGAAACAGGTATGCAAGTAAGGAAGGATAAGAAAGATTGCCAAGGTTCTTTATTTCACAACTTCATTAGAAACCAGTTATCATTGAGTTGATTTGTGACCCATGGCGACGCCATGTGTGTCAGAGTAGTAGTATGCTCCATAGGGTTTTCAAGAAGTGGATAACAGGCCATTCTTCCAAAGCATCTCTAGGTGGACTTGAACCTCCAATCTTTCAGTTAGCAACTTCATTGTTGTTGTTGTCGAGTCAGTACGGACCCATAGCAACTTTATGCACAGCAGAACGAAACACTGCCCGATCATGAGCCAACCTCACTACTGTTGCCATGCTTGAGTCCACCGATGCTGCCACTTGGCTAATCCATCTCGTTGGGAGTCTTCCTCTTTTTCTCTGACCCTCCACCTTACCAAACATGATATCCTTCTCCAGCGACTGGTCCCTCCTGACAATATGCCCGAAGTATGAGAGATGAAGTCTGGCCATCCTGGCCTACAAGGAGCACTCTGGCTGTACTTCTTCCAAAACAAATCTATTGGTTCTTTTGGCAGCCCATGGCAATTTCAATATTCTCCTCCAACACCATAACTCAAAAGTATCAATCCTTCTATGGTCTTCCTTATTCATTGTCCAGCTTTCTTGCATGCATATGAGGTTATGAAATCTTGAGAACAATTAGAATGACATGTTACCAAATGCAGATAATGTATTTCGAGTGGACTAGAAGTGTGCAAAGGAATCACAGCTTATAATTAGTAATCTTCGCATTGATGCCTTGGAGGTAGAAAAGGTATGCTCTGCAGGGGGATTTGCCTGTACCAAGGGAGGCAAGATGGACCGTGTGTGTGCACGCATGTGCATGTTTGTTGTGGGGGGTGAGGGAGGTAGAATCTGATGGATGAGAAAGCACAGGTGAGGAAAAATGACAAATCGACTGGGTAACTCTGCTGGCTACAGTTAGCTGTAGCTACAGGATGGGTCAGCTGATTTTAAGAGATTATCAGTAAGATGTTTTCTGGCATGCTGTAACAGGACACCTGTCCCATAAATAAGACTTCTCAAAGGGAAAAAAAAAAAAAAATCAAGTCAACCTGTGAAGTAATACTGTCATTGCAGCAGGAAGAAACACCTCAAAATAGTATTCTGGAACAGTCTGCTGTTGCTGATGCCTGATGTCATCGAGTTGGGTTCGACTCATAATGACCCTGTATAGGGTTTCAGAAGCTGTAAATCTTTTAAGGGAACAGAAAGCCTCATCTTTCTTCAGAGGAGTGGCTGATGGATTCAAACAACTGACCCTGCAGTTAAGCAGCCCAACATGTAACCCACTACACTACCAGGTTCTTGAACAGTCCCCTGGCAGACACGAAAAAGTATTTTTAAAAAGGGGGCGGCTTATCAGCTTCTACTATTGTATTTGCAGCAATATTATCTACTTCAGACTATAAGGAGAGTCCTGGTGACGCAGTGGTTATGCAGTGCTTAGCTTCTAGCTGGAAGGCCAGCATTTGAACCCATTAGCTGCTCTGGGGGAGAAAGATGTGGGAATCTGCTTCCATAAA